GGAGCCAAACGAACCAGTTCACAAGTCAAATATATAAATTTTAAAAATAAAATTTTAATACTAAAAATTATTTAAATCATTTTAATATTTAAAAAATATTTAAAATATAATAAAAAATAAAATTTTTAATAAAAACAAACTAAATATATAATAAAAATATAATATATATATAAATATTTTAAAATATATAAAAAATATTAAAATTTAAAAAAAATATTCCAGCTCACCATGAGTCTGTGGTTTGTGATGAGTTGGTTCGGTTTTTTTTTTTTTACTTAAATATTTTGAGTCCGAACTCGTAAAAATATGGAGTGAGAGGGTTAGAGGTGTAAAACGAGGGGGGGGGGATAGGTAATTATGGAACCCAAACAATTGTCGAAAACACCCCCAAATCCCCTCCGGATGAATTCTGGGGGGTTAATGAAAATCACGGGGTAGATTTATAACAATGAAATTCTTTCGTGCCCAAAGAAAATGGAGAGCACTTCCTCATTGCTGAAGCAGAATAAGCAGACGAGGATGATAGGATAACGAACTCTAAAACCCTACAGAGTAGAAACTTCTCTCACTCAATCCTCTTCACCACAAGAGATCCTGGAGGCCTTCTCATGGCCATCCTGGCTCTTCCACTCGTCATCTCCTTCGTTAAACCCTCCCCTTATCCTCCGCTTTCGCGTTTGGCCGGCAACTTCCTCTACCGACGGCTATGTAGACCACCGCCCATCGGTCGCCGTGGATTCTACCGGACTTCCGTCTCTGCCACCACTGCCTCCGATGTTCATCGTCATTCTTTCAATAAGCCTGAAGGTGGAGCGCGCAATGCCTCCATCCCTACGTTCCAACAAGCAATCCAGCGCCTCCAGGTTCTTCCTTTCTCATTCAATCCCTGTTTGCTCGTTCAAATTCGTTTTCGAGGTATTCATTTTGGGTGGTGATTCAGGAATATTGGGCTTCGGTGGGATGCGCTGTTATGCAATGCAGCAACACCGAGGTATTGGTGTCAAGCAATCTGAGCGTCTACTACATTCACGCGTGTTCCCGATTAGGGTTTATGGTTATTGCAAATGTCAACTTTCCGGTTGCAGGTTGGAGCCGGGACGATGAACCCTTTGACATTCTTGAGGGTTCTTGGCCCTGAACCCTGGAATGTTGCGTAAGCATCTGACTCTTACCCGCTCTATATGCGAATTTTATGAGGGAACTATGATTGCTAATTTGTCACTTTTGGTTTAAGCTATGTGGAACCGAGCATACGTCCGGACGATAGTCGCTACGGAGAGAACCCAAATAGACTTCAAAGGCACACTCAATTTCAGGTTGGTTTGGGGATTCCATCAAGTAGCTAAGTCCAATGGACTCTTTCAGGAATATAATTTTTTTTTCCTCAAAAACTTTGATTTCAGGTTATATTAAAACCTGATCCAGGAAACACTCAGGACCTCTTTATCAACAGTCTTTCTGCTTTAGGTACTGAAGTTTCTGCTGTTCTTAGATTATGAAATCTTCATGCTTGGTTCTCTTTTCTTGTTTGTATATGTTTTGAATTTAAAGAGAACACATAAACGACACCTCAATGACGTTGGAGACGCAATTAGGGTAGGTTTCTGTTTACTGATGACAGGTAGGTTCTGGTCCTTTTAGTAGTGATTCTGAGGGCTGAAAGCTTTTTAGATTAAATTTTACCCAAGCTGATGGATTGGAAAGATCAATTATGGGACGTTTGTCTTTATGGTATATAAATGATAAACTGTTTCACAGAGAATGCTTTCTTTTAATTAGCCGTGTCATGCTCTTTTCGTCTACGGTTTGATTGTTTTGCGGGTAAATGCTTACAGGCATTGATGTGAGTGAACATGATATACGATTTGTGGAAGACAACTGGGAGAGTCCGGTAATGCCTCGTCTTCTGAAAATGGAGCTCTGCGGGTTGTCCATCTCATATAACTTCTAGTTGATGGTCTTGAAGAGAGCTTTGGGGATGCAGTGTCCATTCTCGGGCACCGACAATTCTCAACATCTGTTTTTAGTGATGAATTTTTTTATGGGTCCTTTTCCTTGTTTTCATTTGTATTCAGGTGCTCGGTGCTTGGGGTTTGGGGTGGGAGATTTGGATGGATGGAATGGAAATCACACAATTTACTTACTTTCAGCAGGTACCTTTATATAGTGAAAGATTTTTGTAGTATTAGTCTGTTAGATTATTCACACAATTACTATCTTTTACTAAATTATATTTCTGTTTCTAGTCTAAAAATGGCATTATCGAATATTTTCTTCTCTCTGTAGGCTGGAAGTCTTCCTTTATCTCCAGTATCTGTTGAAATAACTTATGGGCTTGAGCGGATACTTATGTTACTTCAGGTCAGAATTCTATTGCCCTGACTGTTGATGTATGCCTCTTTCTTTTCGGGCTCCGTTTGTGGCATTGAAATTAGTCTGGTCTTGAATTGACAGGGAGTTGATCATTTCAAGAAAATCCAATATACTGATGGAATCACTTACGGGGAACTCTTCTTGGAAAATGAGTATATATTTTGACCATTTCTTTTCAGACATTGAAAATATTCCTGTATGTAGATTGATATTTTTTTATTTAGTTTTTCAGGAAGGAAATGAGTGCATATTATTTAGAGCATGCTAGTGTGGATCATCTTCAAAAGCATTTTGATTATTTTGAGGAAGAGGCACGTGCCTTGCTTGCTTCAGGCCTTGCAATCCCTGCGTATGTTTTATAATAATTGATCTTGTCTATATGCATCTACATATTTAATCATTGCCTTGAATTTAACGAGTTTTTCGGTGATATGCTAGGTATGATCAGCTTCTCAAGACATCTCACACCTTTAACATCTTAGATGCCAGAGGTTTCATCGGCGTAACTGAGCGTGCCCGTTATTTCAGTCGAATGCGCAAGTAATATTTATGTCCTTTACTTTCTTTGTTTTTAGGTTAAACAACCAACTTTATCAAACCAACAAGCTTGATGTATACGAAGGAAACATTTGGAATACGTGAAAACAATAAATCTTTACTTGAGAAAAATAATGTTGGGAACTTTTTCTTTTTGCTGCGGTTCATCCATTTGTGATCAAATAGCTTGGCTCGCCGATGTGCCCAACTGTGGCTAAAGACAAGGGAGTCTCTTGGGCATCCTCTTGGTGTTGTTTCTGAACCTGTTCATCTCATCCGACATGAAGATGCTTTGAAAAATGTTTTGGAAAAGGTTGGTCATGTTTCCTGCCTTAACCGTGTAACCGAAGCTTCATGATTGACCGTTTGATTCCATGATTCATTAGATAATTAGTTTGCTGGAGAGTTCTAGTTGCTATCTCATTTCCGTTTCTGAAATTTCCCTTGCTTTTGGTTCAAAAGACCTTAGTTACAAAACATGAGTAAAGTTAGCATACATGAAAACATTACCAATTTTTCGTTATTGTTTGTGTTATTTAATTTCTGCAGGTTCCTGAGGAATCAAGGTCTTTTATTCTTGAAATAGGAACTGAAGAGATGCCGCCTCAAGATGTTGTTAACGCAAGCGAACAAGTAATATTTGTTTTCTGTTAATGAGTACTTCAGAGTTCCGTCATCCTCTATCTTTCTTACACACATAGACACTTATGTCGGCCACTTGTAATGCAACTTATCAACTTCCTGAACTGCTTGCCCTACTTTGCTTCCATGCAGAAGATTTGTGTTTTGTCCTATGCTTTTCAATGTATTGTACATTAAGTAACAGTGCCTTGCCGATGCTGCAGCTCAGGGATTTAGTGTTACAGTTACTAGGGAAGCAAAGATTGGACCATGGTGATGTGAAAGCATTTGGGACCCCCCGTAGGCTAGTGGTAATCTACAAATTTGTTTCATTTTTTATGTTTTATTACTACCTGTGGCGAAGCATATAAGAGTGATATTATGAGAAAACATAAATATTGTCCTACAAAGAGAGTGCAATGTAGTGTTTATTGTTTGACATAAAATCTACGTGTGTCCTTTATGTTTTTTTTTATTTACAGATATAGTCTCATGAGGTTTAATTTGACATGGTCCTTTATGTCGCAATCAGTACTGAACGGACTAACTAGTTAAAGCATGGAACCTTGGAGCTTTACAAAATGTCTTGTCTTTGCGTTCAAAACAGGGTTAAATCTGGATCCTATATTTTCAGGTCTACGTATATAGTCTGTCTCCTAAGCAATTGGAAAAGGAGGTTGAAGTTCGAGGGCCTCCTGCTTCTAAAGCATTCGATGATCAAGGAAATCCTACCAAGGTTTTGTTTTTCTTGTCCTTTGTCTTCTCAAGTTTGTGAAGCTTAAGACATACATTTACCTATTGATTTTTCAGTTATTCTGTTAGGCAGCTTCAATATTAAAAGATGCAGTATCTGGAGTATTTGGCTATTTCTATTTGTTTATTGCACTATGTTTTCTGTTTTCGACTTAGCAGATTATTTTTTTTACTTCAGTGGGTTTCAAGCTGTACCTTTTCACTCTACTTATCTTTCAGGCTGCTGAGGGGTTTTGCCGTAGATACGGTGTTCCATTCGAAAGAATATTTAGAAAAGTTGATGGTGAGTGACCAAGAATTCTTTCTTGTTCTGGTTTTAACTACTCTTGTCTACACATGCCAGACACCTGTCTTTGATTGCTCTACTTAACTGGAAAATTATACTGAATTGTCACTTAGAGGGGATCAGGACTCTCCTCCACATCAACAAGTTCTGATAGCAAGAGATTTATCAAGTTTCTTATTACTTATTATCTCTTCCTAATTCTCCATCTCCTAGGTTGAGTTGCTGCATTCATGTGTGTTTAACCTATTGCATTCTTTTAGGTAAAACGGAATATGTTTACACAAGGGTTACAGAGTCAGCTCGACTTGCTTTGGAGGTATCTGACTTTTCATTTTTGCTAAGTGATTGGTGTTACATATCTTTAAAAGTTTCTTCTCTTTCCGGTTCCATGGCTGGGTTTTGTGTTATCTGTAACATACAAGAAATATTAATGACTTAAGCTTCTATTTTTTTTACAATGTATATCCAAGATTTTTCCCCGTGTTATATACATTCTGTTTGGCTTCTTGATACTCTGTTTTTTGTTGTCAGGAGACTACCAATGCTGGCATCTAACTTCACTTGTTTTCACGGGGATCTTTTTTGTGTTCTAGGTTTTGTCAGAAGATTTGCCTGCTATACTAACTAAAATATCATTCCCAAAGTCTATGCGCTGGAACTCATCAGTATGTGACTTGTATGCTCCTTTTGCAATTCATGATCATCAGCTACAATTTTAATATTAGTCAAGATAAAGTTCGAGTTCTGAACTGATGAATATAGTCAGATTTTGTTAACTGGTGCTATTTTCTTGTCTCCTGGCCTGAGTAGGTAATGTTCAGCAG